GGGCTGAACCCAGCGCCTTAGATTAAGTTCTCAATAAATGTTTCTAATATTATCATCATCGTTTATTATTATTATTAGTCTATTTTACCAAGAGATAGGAAAAGTGATAGCTCTGCTGAGCTATGTTGGCCAGACCGCGCCTTAGAGCATGTTCAGTTCTAGGAGGAGCGGATCAAGATGGTGGAATAGAAGGACGTGCAGCTCACCTCCTCCCACAGGACAGTGCCTTTACAGATGAGGATATTAAGGCACAGAAAGGTTAAGTGGCTTCCCCCAGTTACCTAGCTAAGAAGTGGCAAATCCATGATTCAAGCCCAGACCCTCTCTCTCCAGAGCCTGCACCCTTAACCAGTATATGGTGAAGAGCTGTGCTCTCCCGTTACTGTCACCAGCATTCACAGGTGGCTATTTAAATTCATTAAAAGTGAATACAATTAAGAACTCAGTTCTTCATTTGCGCTAGACACATTTCAGGTGCTCTATTGTCGCATGTGGTCAGTGGCTACCATATTGGACAGCGCAGGTATAGAGCATTCTGTTCTTTCTGGGAGGATGATTCAGCATCATCTCAAGGTTCTGTGGGACTGTGCTGCTTTGTTGAGCTTCTATGATTCTATTTCTTACAAAATCTCAGGCTTGAGTTGCATAGCTTTTTCCTAGTGTTATTAATAGATGCATGCTTGTGATATATTGAAGTCCCATCTGCATTTGGCCAAGTGGTGTAATGGCAAGTAAGAGGCCAAGAAGTCTGACTCACATTACATTTTCCTGGTTTCCCAAAGCATTACTTCACATTTACAAAGTCATCTCCTGTCACCTCTGTTTGACAGGTCGGCACATTCATCCATTTGCCCAGAGATCCAGCTTCTTCCATAGCTCTGCCTTGCCCTCTTTGAGCTATCTGGATAGCATTTAGTACCCTAGCATGTTCATCTCACTCGTGACTTGAACAGCTGGGGCTGGCTTCCGAAGTCAGCCCAGCCGTGAGTGACCTTGGCCTCTGAGAGTCTCTGGCACACGCACCAAGTCTCCAGTTCCTTCTTGTGGGCTCTCTCCGCTCGCCTCTGTTACACGGTTAGTAAAGAAAAGGAGGAGTTAAACAGGATTTGTTGCCTGAACTTTCAGGATGAGTAAGTCTAGAAATCAACAAGCTCCCAGAAGCCAGTGGAATTACAGTACACAACTGTAACCTTGTGAATGCGCATATATTTCCTCCTGACCTCCACGGGCGAAGACTGAACCAAGATCTAATCCAGTCAGTAACTGATAAAGCCAGAGCAGTCATCTGCTTCTTGCAAAGCGTCTGAGTATCTGTGGAGGTTAGTCATAATCTGAGCTCCTTACACCAGAGCCCATTTGCTCTACGGTGAGGTCACAGAATAGCCAGCAACGTGGAGTTACTCCAGTGTAATTGAAGGACACCCGACTGCTTCTCTCTGTGCGCAGAGGAGGAGCCCTCACCTCCCAAAGCCAGCAGTTGCTTGGGTTTTAGTCACTCTGTAAATCAGGTCCAGGTCTGTACCCACTTTCCTGTGTGTGTCCTGGGTAAAGCTATCTCCACTTCCTTGTCTTGTAAACTGGGGACAGTCTCAAATGTATGTGTGTGTGCACGGTTAGTGCAGTAAATGTTAGTTGACGTTATTTCCACGGTGTGATGATGATCTCTGTTCTACTGATGGGTTTTATTAACCCAACGGCATTGAAAAGAGATGAGTAAATGTGCTTAAAATGAGGGTCAAGGCTCACTTTTATCATTAACGTTCATCCCAGAAAGAAGCCAGCACAGTGCTCACTGGACTAGCATATCCCGAGTGCCTGGGATATCGTGCCAAGCTCATAACAGATAGAGTCAGTTGAATTTTCCAAATATTTGCTGAACCCTTTGCCTGTGCCAGGCACTGCCTGGGCACCAGAGGGATTTAAAGATGATTAAGACTTGGCCCGACAAGGATGTTCGGTCAGCCAGAGGAGCTGGACCAAAGGAGAGGCAGAATTCCCAGGGTGGATCTCCAAGGACATGCAGGGTTCCAGACGGGAAACTTGGAGAAAGGGCTCTCTGGGCTACCGAAGCAAGGAGCGCGATCACAGGGGACTGAACGCGGGCGGCAGCCTGTCTGGGGAACTCCAAGGGCATGGGTATGACTGCGGGTTAGTGTACCTGACACCATGGGACAGGAAACCTGCCTGCCAAGAAGGCAGGAGGCCAAGGAACAAAGAGCCCTAATTGCAAAGTTTAGCAGGACGTGCTTGGGGCTCTAAGTGGCTGCAAGCCATTAGAGGGACCCAGGGACAACCTCGTTCCAGCAAGTTCTCTAGCGATCACGGGAAGCCCAGTGGGTGTGAGCTCTGTGAAATCGGGCACCAGCATCGGGCACTATCCATCCCAGGGTCTGATTATCTGAAATTTGGAATCATGCAGAGCCAGCCAGTCCGAGAGGTAGTAATCATGCCCACCAATTATGGATTGGCTTGCTTTTCTGAGATTTTCAGTGATTCCAAAGAGAGAGATGGGTTTACCTTATGTGTGGAAACCTCTAGGCGTTGAAAAGTGCCAACCTCTTTTTCTTTGGAAGCTGGACCTCCCACTTACAGGGCGTGTGACAGCAGTTTCTTTTCCAAAGTAAATAAAACGGAGAAGACACACAAGCATCAGCTACAAAGCTCCTTGTCGGTCAGAGTCAAGACTGAATCTCATCTAGTTTATTTCTTTTCTTTTTTTAACCAAGGATTACACCGGTCCGCGAAGCGCCTGCTCCCATTCTGCTCCACTTGAATGGGTGGCTGCAGCCCCGTTCCCAACTGCTGCCGAAACAGAACTGCCCACACCGTCGGGGCATCTTCTGCTGCTGGTAATTTCCATGTGCCATCTGCAGGGTTTTTTCTGCCTGATGAACTACCGAGGCGCTGTGAGCGTATGTTCATGCTGATGGGGGTTCTTGCTTCTTGACCCGTCACTAATATCCTACAAGTCACATGAAGCTACCAGGGATTCCTGAGCAAAAGCTTAAAATGCTTCAGTTCCCTACAAATAAGCCCCACTCATTGCTTTCAGTCTGTGTCGTCACGGGGTGGGCAAGGAATCAGACCTCTAGGAATAGTTGCATATCGGGACTGTAAAAACTCCTACATGGCTATAAAATAGTGTCTTGAATTATCAAGGCGCTAGGAATGCAGGCACAAAGAATAGTCCATTGTAGAGAGCGACGTTTCTGCTCATGTCCCAGATGACCTTGGTCCAAGGACAAATTGGAGCTTGCCGGACGAAGCGAAGCTTCAGGTGGCCAGTGAGCTCAGCTCTGCACAAATGCACCAGCCCAAGGGGAGGGGCGCCAGGCCCTCTGTAGTTGGCTTATCCTCAGAATGGCAAAAGAAGTTTTCTTTCCCACGTGCAGTGAGTTCACTTGCTAAATGTATTTCATGTGGTTTTTTGGTTTTGTTTTTCTTTGGGGAGAGGGGTGTCATCTCTAAAGCTCTCCAAGTAGTTAGGTTTTCTTCCTAATCCCATCTTTAAGTATTTCTAATGTGTTCTTAAAATTTTGCCTGGGGCTCCCTTGTAAGATCCGGCCTGTACTTTTCTTAATGACACACTTGAACAGTTTCTACATTTCAAGGCTTGTTTTCCCATATGACAAGCTAATCACACACATGCACACACCATGCCAAACTTCATGTGGACCTGGGAACCAGGCAAACCTGGATTTGCATCCTCCCCTGCTACTAACTAGCTGTGTGACTTTGGGCAACTTCCTTAACCTCTCTGGGCCTCAGTGTCCTCATCTGTAAAATAAGGACAGTAATTGTTCCTGCCTCATGTACAGCTGTTGCAAGGATTGAGTGAGACTGAGTATTGAAAGCACTTGGGTTAGTGCCTGGTACGTAGCAAATGCTCGATAAATTCAGTGGTGGCAGTTTTTATCGTTAATTCAAATACGGCATCCAAATATCTACTGGCCTGTCATCCATCACAGAGGCTTGCCCACAGTAGGCGCTTAGTCGTGTTTATTGTCATGAACTGAATTGACTCCAACTGTTTAGCTTAGATTCGGAGGATAAATACTTCCCTTTCTACTGGGCTGTTTGATAGACACAGGCGATCACTCAAAGCTCAGGTGTTAAAAGCACGACAACGAAGAGGCTGCTTCACGTAGAAAGACCTTCTCCTCAAGGCAGGCTCCCCCTGGTCCTCTTGGGCAGGATGTCAGAGCTGTCTCGGCAGCTCCTTGGAGTCTTGAGGCTTCCTGTGACGTGGATATCAAGTGTGAGGGTTTTTAATTGCCTTTGGCTGAAAGAATTGGGTCAGATGTTCAACTCGGGTGAAATCCCTGCCTTCTAAAATATGACGGAAAGGGGAGGTGCCACTCACACGCAAGTCCTGAAACGTGGGGGCCCCGGCAAGGTGAGGTGCAGTGAGGGCTGCCGCTCAGGGCTGGGCTGCTGTGAGGTTTCCACTTGACTGCTTGGTTTTGCACTCACCATTTGGTTTTGCACTCACCATTTGGTTTTGCAGATTCCTCAGCATGTGTCTACACACACGTACCTACAAACCAGTTTAGAATGGTGTGCTCTGTTGGGGGGGAGGGGCGTGGGGAGGGATCAGGATTGGTCAAGGTCATTGCTGATGACCTAGCTTGACTCCCACTTCCAACAAGACAGTGACTGATGGAGACAGAGGCTCCTTAACTGAGACCCACGGATGGGTAGTAAGTGGTCCAGAAAACCCCTGAGATTATACGTAAGATGTCGGTGGGCTGGGAAGGGGGGAGACACCAGCGTAAGTGCTTTTTCTGTGGAGAGAGACCATAGCTTTTAACCGATTCTCAAAGGAGTCTGTGACCCAAGACAACTAAGACCACAAAGCTGTTGGGTTTGGTTGGCCCAGACCACTTGGTGTGTCTAACCAAGCACCCAGACGACCCCGCTAGGCGGTCAGGGCAGTGACAAGAGCATTCAGAGGCATGTCGTGGCCACGCCGCTGATGGACTCTTCAATGGTTGTTGTAGACTCATGTAGACAAAGCCTGCAAGCTTGGGGAAGCCAGGCCCCCCCAGGTCAGCCTCGGGCGACAGCCCCCATCCTGCCAGGCCCTGGGGAGTGAGTCCTTCCTGCCCGGCAGCTCCTTTGCTCAGGAGCTGGCCCGAGTCACCTCCTCGTACAGCACCTCAGAGGCAGCGCCCTGGGGCGGCTGGGATCCGAAGGCCTGGAGGCAGGTGCCCGCTCCACTACTGCCTAGCTGCGACGCTGTCGGTAAGTCACTTCCCCCAGCCTCGCTTTCCTCATCTGTCAGCTGGGCACGGTCCCCTGCTCAGCCTGCCCGCCTGCCGCACAGGGTTGTTGGGAGGCACAGAGGAGGTGACAGCCCGGCCCGTAAAGCTCTGTTCACCTAGGAGGGATTTCTAGCAGAGAGACCAACCAGGCAAGCAGACTGCTCCGGCATCTCAGCCTCATCTTCGGGGCATTGAGTGGGGATCGCCCTGGGCGCAGCTGCTCCCTCCCGGCTGTTGGCCTTCCAGCACCCCAGTTCATTCCCTGCCTGTCTGTCCCTGCGGCCAGGCTGTGAGTCCGTGGGGCACAGGGGCTGCGCTTCTGCACCTCCGAATCCCCCCCACACACACCCGCCCCGACCCTGTGCCTGCCTGCTCCATAGCTGGTGGGCGCTCGGGAACTGCCTCTCCCTCCAGCGATCTGCTGTGGACTCCGCACCCCAAGGTGTTCTTTGACCCCACCTGGGACTCACGCACCCCAGAAGTGGGAAGTTGGATCGCCCCACTGGAGGACTGGTAGCCCCGGGGGAGGGCAGGCAGAAGGAAGCCCAGCCAAGCCTGTCCAAGATGGCTGTGAGTTTGCATCATCCTGCAGATTCTAAAAGAAATGGCTTGACTTGCCCTAAAGAGTCACGTTAGTGGTCATGAGAGAAAGATGGTGGACGCCAGTCAGAGCGGGCCTTTGCAGAGAATTTCATTTGGCTCGTGGAGTTGTTGTTCTGGTGCATGAAACATCAGTGTGTACAGGATGTCAGACCTCTCTGCAGAGAAAGCTAGAGAAATGAGCATTGGCTGAGTGATAGTGATCAGAAGATGCTCATCCAGCTGAAAGGACCTCCGGGATTCTGGCCTTTAATGGAAATGCTGCTTCGGTACGTGAGGCCTTGCTCTCCCCATCCCACCTGCCTCGGCCCGCAAGAACAAGCAGTGCTTTCCATTCAAGGGCTATCGATTTTTCTCTCTCTTTCCCCGCCCCCTTTTCTCTGTGTGCTCTCACAGTGCTTTCCGGCTTGTCCAGCACAAAGCTGCCAGGGAAACAGAATTAACAAAATGGATTGGGGCATCGTCCACTCAGGATGTCTCCGAGTTCCACCCTGGTCTGACCTGTCTTTCCCTGCCCCCAAAAGGCAAAAAATGAGGGATCCAAGCTAGCTTGCCTCGAGAGAATTCATTTCCCCACCTTATTATCTCTCTTCAAAGCCAAGCCAGGCCTTCCACCCTGCACTGGAGCCGGGGGCGTGGGGGGGGGGGGGTATACATTCTCCTAAGAGTTACAAATATGAGAATGTATAGCAGCTGAAAATCAGTTACTATTTATCAACTATGTGCAAAGCACTGAGCCAGCAAACGGGGGGGTGGGGGGGGGGGGTGCGCGGGGGGACGGAGGCTTGGCCCTCAGATCTTCCCTGCGAAGCTTTGGAAGTTGGGCCCACCTCGGGGGGCTTTGAGGGACAGGACCTCCAGCTCAGCTATGACTCAGGAAGACCAGACACAGTGTGAGACGGAGGATGCAGGCACCCCAGGGGAAGAAGAAAGGCGAGCTGCAAAGACATTTGTTTCCTTTGCGGCCAGATCAATCCCAGCATGTAGACCCAGCCCTTCCGGGACCAGGCAGCCCTGAAACCACCGAGATGGAGGTGGAGTCAGGAGAGAGTTCGTATAGCTGGAGGTCAACTGCAAAGGCAGAAAATGGAAAAGAGAAAAGCTGAACTACAGCTCTGGTCGTTTCCGATGGCGTCGATTTTGTGAAGTCCCCAGTGGCAGCTTCAGATCGGTTCAAACCCAAGGGCAGCATCATGACCGTGGGGGTGGTCCTGTCTCCTGCTCCAGAGGCCCCAAGGGTCAAAGAAAGACCTCAGCAGGCCACTGGTGCCCCGGCCTCCGGGTGTGGCGTGTTCCCGCGTACACTGAGGGCCCCACGGCCTGCGCCTGGGTTTCTGCCGTGCCCGCCCAACTCCCCATCCCTTCACTCTGTTGTATTCTCTTTAGTAGATGTGCCACCATTGGCAACGATTTTCTTTGATTGATTTGCTTGCGTCTTGTCAGTTGCCCCTCCATTGTAAGCTTCATGAGAGTAGAGACACACAGTGCCACCCCCATGCCTGGGACAGAGCCTGGCCCTGGTAGACCCGTGAGAAATGTCCATCAGCTGACTGACAGAGGGGCTCACCGGCCTGCCAGGTAAACCCTATATCTTCCCACCCGGAGTCAGGGAGGCTGCCCTCCGGGCAGGGAAAGGCATTAAGCAGAGGCCCGAGGAAAGGGCAGGTGTGCGGCCGCCCCTCCCCCCGCCCTGGCCTTGGCCTCTGAGGTCCGCAGGGAAGAGTGGTGGCCTGATGACCCACTCAGCACTCCCGTGTGGAAGCACTCTGGAGAAACTGAGTCACGGGCTCAGAGAGTTAGGAGCGGGGGTTAGGAAACACTGAAGCTGGCCTGCCAGTCGCTGTGGGCAGCCCATTTCTGAAGGACACCTGAGGAGAGTTTTAGCCTAAGAGCATCCACGCCCCCTCAAACAGGGCTTCGGGTCTGAGGAGTCCCCATCCACAGGCGTGTGGGAGTCCCTAGAATTCAGATCTCCATGCAGAACGCTGTCTTCCCATCATTTCAAAGGAAAAGTCACAAGAGTGGGTGAGTTGTTTCCAAATTTGGCTTCCCAAAACCACAAAAGAAAGTGCTTTTCCTATTGGAGGAAGAAACAAACCAACCAACCCACACACTAGAGCTCGCTAACCTTTGAACCTTTAACACAGAGGCGAGTGGCTTCTGCTGTGGCAGGCTGGCTCTGCGTGGGGCACCCAGGGCCTTGTCTACTGGGAAGGGAGCAAGGAGCTGCCTGGTGCTGGAAAAAGAAAAACCATCCCTCTGCACCTCCCCCCTCCCCCTCCC